AAGAATAAACGGTTTGCTTGGGATCTGAAAATGGAACGGAACGAATTAAAAAACACAGTTTTACTTAATTTTGCAGCAATATATCCCCGAAAGCATCCCAGCTTTCTACGCATGCCACTATTTCAACAGCTGCTTCATTCTTCCCATCGCTGTTTCACATATCGTGGATCTTATGACAAGATTAGAAATCCTCTTTGTTAGTCGTTTTTCCTAGTATTCTACCCTTAACTAATGCTATTACTTCCGAAAAAAAGTACCGAGGCTGAAAAAACAGTGAAAACAGCAGCAGGAGCAGCAGGTTAAATGGAAAATCAACAAGGGCATCAGTATTCACAAGTGGATCCGGGACGGACTCTTGAGGGAGGAAGAAAGGGAGGGGAAGGAGGGGAAACAGGGGTAGGGAGAAGATCTCCCTTCCACCCTGGAACTATGCGAAAACTAGGAACAGAGTTGTACCACACTGCTACTTAGAGTTACTTTAGTTTTATTTATGAACAGACCAGGGCTTTTGCAGTACTGGTGCATATACCGTTGAGGGAGACAGGAAGACCCTTCCCCTCACTCCCTGGATCCGTTTATGTCCGTACTTGAAATTTCAGCAGTTTCAACAGCAGCCAGAAAAGACTGAAAGAACCTTAAAAAAAACCCCCCCAGGTGTCATATTCGGCGAATAATTTGTGCCTTTTTCAACTAGAACCCAAAAGTCCGTTTTCCCGAACACTCCTGAACAGAACCATCAACTTCTCTGCAGCGAATGGATCCTATTGGCACAGTGGCATCGTTTAAACAGCCGTGTCTCTATATAAAGCGGATTGTGAAGGTCTGACTTTTCTGCCCCCGACTTTGACAGTTATAACCCAAACATTTGTAATCCAAAGTGAACAGCATTCATGCAACTATCATACAGCAAGTCTCGAAATTCAAAGTACAAAAAAAAATACTTTATAATAGATGGGCTCCTTCCGTTCCAGATCGTTCAACAAATCAACCATGGCTGATGCTGGCCCGAAGCGTGTCATACTTTTTGGCAGCAGGCCACGCACAATTTCCGGAAGGACAACACGTGACTGTGAGTAAACCGAGAATGCAATCGTTTTTATAGAGTCCGACGATGACAAGCGCTCGTTTTGAGATTTTTCCAAGCGTCCTTTAAAAAAATAAACTCAAATTAGTCTGTAAAAGCGTTTTTTACTTCAAACAACTAAATGTTTCCCTCCTCCAAATCTCTATTATTTAGTTTTCAAACATATTCGCGAATACACCGAGGAAGCTAACCTTGATCATATCCGTTCAGTCGGCCACGCTCATCTTTCAGGAAATCAGCCGATACACCAGTATAATCAAAAACGTTCTGCAGCGCGATGATTTCTAGCTGCAGCTGCGGTCGCCGTTTGTTATTCAACCGATACAGTAAAGCATTGAAGGCACGCATCAGCGCCACAGTAACAACACGAGCAACTAGTGGATTCTCCTCGGCACCCACCAGAAACGGATTAAACTGCAAAAAAGATAGCTAGACATTTGGATTTTAAACATCCATGTATAAGTGCTACACATATTTTTTCGAAATTTCCGATACGTTTGGATAAAGACAAATGAAGCGTAGCCCAATTTTTTGATCTCGTATACAGTACATATATGTATAGGGAGAGAGGGCGAGGCTTCATTTCCTCTACTATCCAAATTCGTAATTAAATGCGTCATCATGGAAAACAGAAACATTCAAGAAGCCAGTGACAGCTTTAAACGGTTGTCCTTGAGAGTGATTATTTGACAGAAATGCTTTGCAGTTTTCTGTAAGGACTACACAACATATGCTCGTTTTTGTACAGAATGCACTCGTTTATGGGCTAATTGGGACTGAGGCGACCAGAGCAGAT